ACTGTTTGTCTTCACAATGAACAAGGAGCAAGGTTTCTGAAACTGCAAATCAAGTTTGTGAAGCATAGGAAAATATGAAGCAAGTATGGCATTTTGCATTTTGAGAAGCTTTTAATAGTAGTTCTGTATAGTCACTTCCCTTTTGGTAAGTTATTTTCAGCAGGCAGATGCATTTTAAAAAAATACATTTTGAAATTAGAACACTTTAAAAAATGTTTTGAAAACACTAAAGCTCATAATTGTACCTACTTGTTATCCTTCCTGGGACATAGCAATTATATCTTTATTATTGTTCTAACCGTTTTTCTGCTACAGGCCTCCCTCTAGAGGCACGTATCCCCCTTCACAAAAGGGGTGAACCACTATTGACGGGTCCTGTGGGTCCACTGGCCTGTGGAGTTTCCCAGTCCTCTGGGAACGCTTGCACCTGGCTCAGAGCACGGGCACGGATGTGCTGGTGAAATCCTCCTGCTTGGACAGCGATTCCAAACTTTCTCTCCTATGTTAGCTCTCTTCCACTTCCAGAAACCAACTGTGAAAGATGCTGATCTGCACTCTGTGGTTTGACATTGCGTAACTAGCCATTGTACTAATCTAGTTTTTTCGTGTCTTTGTAATAGAGGTTACTTGTTGGAGAGAAAGTTTATGGGTGAATTTCTCATGGCAAGTTCATGCCTACAGCTTTACTTGCACATTAGTTCAGGGCTCAAGCTCTCGCTTGATCCTGTACTTTGTGTCCACCGTTCTGTCTGCGCTGCTCGTACGCTGGCCTGCCTCCAGAGCAAGCCTTCTGGCATGCAGAATAAGTGCAACGCAGTGATGGTGTGTAAATAAAGGGAAACTGTTTTGAGTAGGAAGGGGAGAGGAGTTGCAGTCATCTTTTTAAGCATTTTTCTTAAGTCATTCTTTCCTGCTCATGTGCAGGTAGTTTAACAGTGAGAAATGCTGAACTGAAGGACAGCTGCAAACCTGCCAATGGCTGCTGGCCGTTCATAACTGTTGTTTCTGATGCAATCTGAAACATGTCTGCGTGGAACGTTTGTATTTTAAAAAAAGTGAATGTGTGAAATTAATCTTTGGAATACTCAAAAACAGAAAATCTCTTCTTTGTAGGCTTAACCTGTTGGAAGTGTAGCACTGGTCGTTAGGCAGGTCAGATTAACTTTGGATTGTTTTAATCTGGCCACCTCATGGTGATACAAACTGAGTCACCTTAAATTATGAGAGTGTAAAAAGAGATGACTTAAGAAATGGGTCGCTAGAATGATGTAACGTTTATCAGCAGGTTTCCTTTATTTTTCTCCCAAAATAATAGTTGATTATCCAGTTGGATTTCTCTTTGTCTTCCTTGCACATAAGTAGTCCTGAACTCTCAATGAATGCCAGAATTGACATGAAAATCTGGAAGTCTTGGAGGAGAGGGGATTTCAGAGAAAGTAATAAAGGAGATGATATAACCTGTTTCTCTAAAGAATTTCTGTGATTCCAGATTGGAAGAAAAAAACGAACACACACACACACACGTTACGTCATCTCTCAGTCCCACAGCCCCTGTTAACCAGCAGTCCACAGGAAGCCGAGTAGATGTTATGAAAGTGGCAAGCCTTTCTTCAAAAGGAGACAGGGCTTTATTCTTGGTATCCAGGAAAAGATCTGGAGAAGGATCTTCACTTTAACAATGTGGAGCATTGGATTCTGTGTGTGTTTGGAGGGGGCGGCTGGGAAAAAAGTGTGCGGGAGAAAACACCGCAAAACACAGGCATGTTCAGCTCCTCCTGTTTTTGAGGTTGGCTAGGCTATCGATTCTAAAGCTGCAAGGCCTGTCATGCAGTGAAGATCTTTAGGAAGGAGCAATACTTGCCGCTGTACCAAGCGTTGCAGAATTCCATAATTCTTTTCCTATCATTTGCACAAATATATGTGTTACTTTAGGCAAAGTCAGGTAATGGGGTATAAACAGAAGACTTAAAACAATTTTTTGGTCATAAATCCAAGATGACATACACAGCGCGAATTATTTATTTCTCAGCGGAGCATAGTATTTTAGAACATCTCTCTTTTAACGCTATTTGAAAAAGCGCTTTGAGGCGGATTATTTTTTTGGGGGGGGATGTGTGGGGGGGATTGTATTGCATAGCAGTTATAGCTTTATCTGAACTTCAAGTTCCTGTCATTTTTTCCTGATGCTGACCATGATATGCATGAATTTCATGCATGTTTCCTCTGCCTGTTTTTTTCATAACAGTATAAATAAGATACAGACAGAGTACTTGCAGTATTCTATATGCTGACAAAGCTTTTGCATTTTACGTGGGTAATAACTATTAGGTTACTACAGGTGATATAATAGTGGTATAGCTATATCAGAAGTTGCTCTACTCTCATTTTGTAAGACCATGTTTTCAGTTGCCTATGATTGTGCCCAACTTCTGCTATTTGGGCTGAAATTTCTGTCCTCAGGAGAGAGGAGGACAAGTGAGTAAGGATGGGAGTAGCTGAAATAATTCAGTAACTACTAATTGTTTCCACACTGTCTGAACAGTGTCCATCCTTCATAAGCTGTACTCTGGACTGCATGAGTTGGATGTGCTTGGTAACTGTAAATTTTTGACATGGATTAATTCTGGACCAGTGGCAAGCTGCCGCCACGATTTTGTTGTTGTTGTTCTAGATTCCAATAGAAATGCACTTTTCTTCTAGAGACTTGGTTCTTCCAAAAGTGAGAAGTGGCCACATATGCTCTGCATAGATTCATCTTCTTTTAATTCTCATTTAAAAAGTGGATCACTTCTGTGTTTCCCTTTGCCATTCAGTACAGGGCATTGGACGTTTCTGTGCTGAGCTTCATTGTTACCCTCTCCTGCTTGAGTTAAATGATTTAACTCAACTACTTCAGAAACAGCCACCTTCAAAAGGTGTGGTTTTCTGTTAACTTCCCTATTGCTGTTATTACCTGTTGCTTATACATACGGATTAAAGCTTTGTTCCCACTTTCTCCAACTACCTGCTGTTCTTCCACAGAGTTTCATCTCTGGAGTGTTGAACTACACTGTATTTTCATGCATTTTTACTTTGGGCAGTGTCTGGTAAGCATTCTTGATCTGCCTGTGTTTGACAGTGATCCAGCTTCTTTAATGTCCTCATTCTGACTTCTTCTAAATTACCTGTTGTAAGGTCTTGCACGTAGCTACGTGAAACTGTGAGCTGTGCGTTCCGTGCAGGGGTTGAATGGTGCACGGTAAATGACAAGAATTCTTAAGGAGAATTAAAAAATAGATGTAAAAGCCGCTTATAGAGGAGGCATGATGATGTAAAAAGTGTTGCATAGCTTCCTATAGCAGAAGGCTGTGAGTTGTTTCTGCACTGAGCAGCTGCACGTGGCTTGTGCTGGCCTGCTATGCACGTCCTACAGGATAGACAGCGCAAGTGCAGCAGCTCGTCATGTCGCTAGGCTTCAATGCCTGCGCTTCACAAATGCAGCAGTCGTTTTTCTAGATCCAAACTAGACGGCGTGCTGGCAGCTCGTGTGTCCGCACACAGTATTTCTTGCCACGTCGCCTTAGCTGGAGTGCCTTTGCATGTACGGAGCCGTATCATGTGCATGCAGAAGATAAATTTAAGGGTGCCCAAACATCCTTAAACCTGCATTTCCTAACTCTTGCGTGCCTGGCTTTATAACAGTAGTGTTGTTTTAAGATGGAATTTTGCCTTACTTTATTGCTGAAGCATCTAGAGATGCTGATTTCTGTAGAAAAGTGCTGCAGTACTCTATATTAAACTCTCTCCAGCTTTCAAATGTGTATAATTAGCAATTTAGGTACGCCAGACCACCTCAGACGCCTCATCGATTACACTTGGGATGCTAGTGTCCTGAGGAAGGACTGAAAGTTGTGCAGGCTTCAGACTATGGTGTATTATCTAGTGGCTTTCCAGTAAATTGTTGTGCAAGGTTGCAGAAAGGGTTAGAGAAAGGATGACAGCTGGAGGATAGGGGTGGGCACAGAAATGTTGATGTGAGCACTGTAAGAAACAACAGGAAATGTGGCAGTTGTAGCAAATGGCCTTTGGATGAGGCCTTAGAGCAGGTGTGCTTCAGAGGATCTTTTCCAGCCCAGGGGAGGCTCTGTGGAGGTTATCTCCCCTAGCTATTTTTCTGTCACAGATTTATCAGGTAGGAGCCAAGAGCTCTGCATTCAGTCCCACCTTGGCTGGGGGCTTCTTGCTGCCACCTAGGTGCTGAAATTCAGAGTGAATTATTTTTAAATGAAGAAGTACATCTTAAGCTGCTTGATCATATGATGGGAGGCGGAAAAGCTCCTGAGCTCAGGCCTAGTGTTTTAGTGAAGTTTGGCATTGGGGTCTATACTTGCAAGCGTGGCTGCTTCAGGGCTTCTGCCAGCCTTGGCTCAAGCGAGTTCTTCGAGCCCAGACCTCGACTTGCCCCGGCGGCAGGCTGCACCCTTCCACCTCCTGTTTCCTACCACGGCCTGAACTTGTGTTGCTGGCGCAGCATCGCGGTTCCTCTGAAAAGCTGGGGAAACACTGTGGTAGCCACCAAACAGTGGGAGCATTTTGACAGCAAAGCAAGAGAGGAGATTAGGTGATATATCAGCATCTGTTCCACTTATCCTTTTTAGTCATAGTTTAAAATCAGTGATAAGGGTTGTTTCGTTTGCGTTCAAGTTCCTTTTCTTAAAGAAAAGTTAATTCTCGTTAGTTGGTATATAAGGATTAATGGTTACAACTAATTACAAACTTTATATTGAAAGGGGTTTTGCTTCTTACTAAGCAGTTACGTGCTACTCTGTGCACTTTGGCCAGCGTAGATCTTTATTGCTCCCTCGCTTTTCTCGCCTGAAATGACTCTGCAGTTAAAGCAACATCAGTATCATAGGTGAAAAAGAAAGCAATAAGGCTCTGCAAAAAAAAAAAAAAAAAAGGAATTAGGTAAATGCCCTTAGATGAATTGGTCTTCACTTGTTTTTGCTTTTCTTTTATAGAAAAAGTACAGAAAAGGATCTGTTGACATTTCAAGAATCAAATGTGTAGAAGTTGTAAAAAATGATGGCATTATTCCCTGTCAAAATAAATATCCATTTCAGGTATGTTCCTTTGGTTAATATTAAATACAGTGTTTTTCAACAGAGCCAAGCCATTGGTGTGCCACTCACTTCAAATTACTGTAGCTTTAGCATACTGAGGCTGTCCTGGCTCTCGCTGGGGCTGTGGAGGCTGTAGTTCAGGACCAGTGGCCAACACTCATCCTCAGTCAGCTCTGCTCCCCCGGCAGCCCCCTCTCCTGGGAGCTGTGCCTGCTGGGTGGGGTGGCACGTGCTTCTCTTCCCAACCCTCCCTGCTTAGATTCTGGCTGAAAGGTGCCTTGTCCTTGTCCTGCCTCCAAAACGGGTCGCCTGACATTGTATTTCCCCTATTTCCATCCTCTTATGTGCATGCTATTTCACTTAAATGCGTGATTGCTATTAATTTGTATGGGAATAAGAAGCTCAAGATAAACCTTGTTGCATTTTCCTCTCTTGTGAACTTACTGGGAATAAATACAGAAAACAAAGGGCTGAGGGGTGGCGTGGAATTGGGGGTCAGGTTGTGCTTGCTTCTACTAGAGAAGATCGTTGGAGTGACTGTGAATCCCACTGATGAAAAGGAGGATCTGGTCCCTTTCTTCCAAGGCAAAACTTGCCTCCTGCCAATACAAGCAGGAAGAATAAAAAACAAATCCCAGTGAAGAAAACAAATGGAAGACATATGGAATCATAATGAGTTTTGAAATGTGTGGGAACAGAGGATGTGTAATTATAAAATAGCTTTAGCAATTAGACTGTTTTTAGAAAACTGTCAGTGGAGAATGAACAAAACAAAGCATGAAGCAAACAATAGAAAGGAATACTCTCAAGATAAAATACCATTAAAATCCTCTCTTATCCTACTGAAAGCACCATATATTAATATTAAACTCTAAAAAATTTTTCCTAATTTATGCATTTTGTCTCACGTTTGTTATGTTATTGGAGACAGTAATTTTGTTAAGCTTAAAAAATCGTTTGCCTTGTTCTGTTTACTCTGTTTCCTGAGAAATAAATAAATGACTGTTACCATGTGAATATCTGTTTTGATTTTTTTTTCCAGGTTGTGTATGATGCTAATACACTCTATATTTTTGCACCAAGTGCACAAAGCCGGGATCAGTGGGTGAGAAATCTGAAAGAAGGTAATAAACTGCTCACGCTTAATATCTGACATATTTAGACACGCCTTGTGCCATGGCATAGTGATAAATGTTAGCCACTTCCCCTACAAATAGTGTTCTGGAGGGAAAATTGAGTCATTTGCAGTGGTAATAGAAACAACAGAGGCAGACAGAGCCCCAAGGGTCCTCACAGCTGCCTGACTGTGCTGCAGGGTGCAGGTGGGTGTCTGGCCCTCGGGGTGCCCCGCGTGGCTGTTCTTACTCTCCTGACTGTGGCAAGCACCTACCTGCTGCCTTGGCCAGCTCATGCAGGGGGAGAGACCTCTCTCTGCCGGAAAACGTGATGTGTTATCCTAAAAATACCATCCATTATCATTGTATGGCTTTCACATAAGCATATAAGAAATTCCTTAAGAGTAGCAATGCTATAGTAAGGTCAAGATTATGCAATAAGAAGTCAAGATTATGTCCCATCTTAAAGGTATGGTAATATTTATTAACAAATTCAGTGGCACTCTTGCAAATTTTTTTTTTCTTAATCTCTGACAATATATGCTTCTTCTAGAAATAAAGAACAACAGTGATATAATGGTAAAATATCATCCTAAATTCTGGACGGAGGGAATTTATCAGTGTTGCAGACAGACAGAAAAATTAGCACCTGGCTGTGAAAAATATAATCTCTTTGAAAACAGTAAGTTCATATGTTTTCATATATAATCGCTTTGGCTTGGTTTTCCACTTTTTCATATGATTCTGTGTCATTGCACCTGAGTGCTGCCGACATTAGGGAAATTTATAGAGCAGGGTGAATTGTTGATGCTGTATCTAAAGTAAAACTAAGTGTTCTATGAAAATATTTAGCAGCCAGCAGACTATCCTTCCAAAAAATATTCAGAGAAATCTGAAAGGAAACATTTTGAGGCTGCTGAATTTATTTTTCATTTGTTCTATTTTTCCCATCTGGAATTTATTTGACAAAGTGTTTCCCTTAGAGTGAGGTAAAACCTCATGGTGATCCAATTACAAATTTTTGCCAGCTCTTCAGTTTTAATAAATGACTTTTACGTAAAAGTGTAGAAGAAGAATAACCATATTGGCATCAATGTTATTACACCAGTGTAAAAATGATACAAGATGACAGGCTCAGTGTATTTGTAGACGCGTGACTGGATTTTCCTAGAAGTTTGTAAATGTGCATATGCTGAACTTGGATAAACTATGACTTCCATACGCATATAAATATTGTGCTTGTACAGCAGTATATGCTGTAGCATGCAATGACATGAAAGTGTGACCCTCACTGCAGTATTGTCCTACTTAAGAATACAGTGATTTAGTCCTTGATTCAAAAAACCCCCAAAACCAAAAAACACAAAAAAAAAAACTTAGTAAGAAAAGATTTAATAGATGCTTACATCCCAAAGATATCAGTGGTACCTAGACGCTTTTCTGTATCAGAGCCTGAAATGGCGATGGTGGGGATCTGCTGCAAATTTAGTTGTGCTAAAAGAGCTGAAGAATAAACCATGGTTTTTGGTCAGCCTGATTCTGCAATCATGAAGCTATGGAACCTGACCTAAACTAACATATTCCAGTACAAATAAAACTCAAGCTTTTTAACTGGAAAAAAAAACAATATGGAAAAAATCACTACTGGACCTCAGAGAAGTAATACAAAATACATACAACTTCTATACCTTGTTTAGCAAGGCAAGCACCCTGGGTAAGTATTATATCTTACTGAAACAACTGGAGGATAATAGAAATGGACATTTAGATTTGTCATGGCTACAAGAACACTACTTCTACATTTTCCTTATTCCTTGTTAAGGAGCAGGACATGGCATGGTCTTATATTGCTTTTAGAGTTTCTTCTAGGAACTCTACGGGCCTGCTCTGCCTGGGCCTGCTGGCTAGTTCAGGAATTTCTGCCCAGCACACTCCAGTGCGGCACAGACGTCTCCAAATCCGGTGCTGTCCAATTTAGTATGTTTTTGCAGATGCTTAATTGATGTTTTCTTATACTTAATCAGAGCTGTCTTTATTTTCTGACTTAATTAGCCTTCATAATAACTTTGAGATGTTAAAATCTTACCTGAATTCAAAACCTTTTATTTATTTTTTTAAATTCATAGTAAGCTAATAGATGCAAATCCTTTTCTGTGCTCTGTTTCTAGGTATAAGGAAAGAACCCTCTCCAATGCCAGAAAAAACTAAGGTAGGTAGAGTCTTTAAAACATGGAATAGATAATTGCTGTTTCTCAAGGTAGCGTTTAGATTTACTGTGACTTTCTTTTCTTATCTTATTCCTGTAAACATCATTAATCCTTCCTTTATCTGAAGTCTGTAGTTGGGGCGGGGGGGAGTCCCAATAATGCAATTTGGACTGGACCTGCTAGCTGTACGCATGCTGCTGGTGGAACGTAGGGTGGGAAAGCAGATGCTGTTGGAGATGGGGGCAGAGCTGGCGGGCTGCTGCGCTGGTCGGCCGGCACAGCACCTGGCTCCTCCCGCACCGCTGCGGCTGCTGGGGAGGCAGGGCAACCTGAGCTCCCTCCTGGGGCCACCAGATGCAGCTCAGCTTTTGCCTTCAGGATGCTCAACTGCTTTGCGCTGGTATAATGATAACAGCGGGATTACAAGCAGAATGGAATGATAGTTGTGTTGTTTTCAGCGAAGGCCTCCGCCACCTGTTCCCCCAGCTGAAGAAAATGACAGTGAAGAGGAGGAAATAGTGGTAGCAATGTATGACTTTCAGCCTACAGAACATCATGATTTAAGATTAGAGAAAGGTGAAGAGTATATGATAATTGAAAAAAATGACATTCACTGGTGGAAGGCAAGAGATAAATATGGGTAAGCACCAGCTCCGTATTTTCTGCGTTCCTTATAAAGTTGGATAAGGTTATTTCCATGTTGTAGTAGTTTATATGCATCATATGTCAACAACCAACTCGGTCAAATCCCATTTGGGACCCCCATATGGGGGAATTTCTGTTCCGATCCATATCTTTATGCCCAAATACAGTCCCATTTGAAAAAATGAGGTTGTCAATACATTGCAGAGTCTGCATGCATAAACTGTTGCAGAATTGGAAGCTTTTACAGTTACGTTTCCTGTCAGACTTTATGGATTCCTAATTAAAGTGTCAGCCAGCCTACAAAACCTAGCTATGCTGGTAAAATACTCCTGCTCCCCTGGGGAATGGCTCATTAGGGAGCAGTATGGTTACCATTTAAATCAGCAGGCTCTGACTTCCAGGCTTGAACTATCATCATCTCATTTAATAGCTGGATCATTAGGGGTAATCTTTGAATGAGTTGAGAGTGAGACTCCAACTTACTCTTAGCAAATCACTCACCATGAGATGCCTTAATGACTGCCACTTCACCAGCTGCAACGCCTGGCTTCTACATTCTCTTTTCCCCACTATTTAAAGGTGAGAGTTTCTATACTTCACTATTTATCAGGTCAATGTTGCAAAACGTTAGGGGTTGTTTTCAGTCATTACGCAGAGCAGGGCTGCTGTGGCACCCTCAAAACATACTCCCAGGGACTGGCTGGTTCATCCAAGTGCAGAAGTAACAGTGAAGCAGAGTGTTGTTTGTTTTAACCCCGTCTGCTGATTTGCTTGGACACTTCTGCTGACTCTTTAACTTCTTTAGGTGCACTAAAAGTTAATTGATGAGGAAAATCGGGTTTTAGGTGATGAGTAGTAGAGTGGGTCTGTAACGAACAAGTGACTGCTAGTGACCCCTGGTAATTAGCAGGATAAAGGATTGTTTTCTAGGCATGCAATTTCATATGTTCTTATTCAGATTTTGTTATATATTCTTCTAGAAATCAAGGATATATTCCAAGCAACTATGTAACAGGAAAGAAGTCCAACAACCTTGATCAATATGAGTAAGTGAATCTTTAAAATGTGGAAGAGCATAAAATAAATGCTATGTTTTAAGAACTGCAAAATATTTTTAAAGGTTTAAAAACAATTATTCACACATTCTAACATTGGTCTTGGAGATTAAAGTTAAATATTTGAAATATGCACATTTTTGTTCTGATTCTCCTTTACTGATCCTGAAGTTTAATTTAGGATGACCTAAGTGAGATAGCAATCAGGTATGTAGTTTTTAGGCTATTAGCAGCAAAAAAGAAATACCCTCATCATGCTCGGTGACAAACTATGGGAAACATTGAAGGAACTTTACCTATTATATATGTTCTGAATGTTTTTTTTAATATCAAAGTGGCACAGCTATCCAAAGTGTGTGGCAGTTACATAGTAGAAAAGAAAACATCAAAAATTGCACAAAAAACCATAACAGATCAGAGATTTTGGAAGGCAGGTCTAATTATTCAGTGCATTTTAAGTCTTAATATATGCATACAGTTCATCAGCTAAAAAATACAAGGATTATTTTTATTTTTTTAATTGCCACAACCAACATTAGTGTTTAATTATGGAGTACTTAGTTTTTTATTCTGATGTTCTTGACCAAGCACTTCATTCTCCAGGCCTGTTGTTTTTGATGCTCAAATTTCAGTGCAGTATGGACTGTTACACCTAATGTGCATGGACACTTATGGCATATTTCATGACTCTTAGATAAAATGGAGCTGTAAGAAAAGAGTATTTAAAACAGTTTATGAAACGCCATCGATAGCTGTAAAACTGTACTCTGTCATGTATGGCTCCTACTTTTATGTTTTGGCAGAAGGTGGAATTTCTTCTCAGATTTTGGCCTAAGCTTTTTTAAAGGATATCTCTTGTTCTTTGCTACTCTCTGGGCTGTGCTGTGAAACTGGTAGAAAAGGAAGGAAGGAACTGGGCTGCCTTATCTAGTCTGGCCACTTTGTGCCTTGCCACCTTGGAGACGTCATCCTGAGTCACTGAAGTGTCCGGGGAGGATTATTCCAAGTCATCTGTAACCTGCAGGAAACCACTAACTCTGGAAGAGCAGAACTTGTACAGAGGCTTCTATATCGCTTCCTTAGGCTTTTACTATTCTATCAGCATAGCTCAAAACAATTGCGCCACACCATTTGCTAGCTCTGTGGTGTGTTGTATGTTTGGCTGATTGATTGGTTTTTATTCACTGCAGCTGGCAGAAATTTCAGTGGTTCTTTGGCTGCTTGAACCTGGCTGTGCAGCATAGAGCTCAGGGCTGTGCAACTGTGACGTTTAGTTCACTTTTAAGTGACTCTTTGATAGGTCAGTCCTCCCTTGAGTAGCAAAACCAGTCACAAAGTTACCGAATTAAATTAAAATTGAGCAATCGACTCAGCAGGTAAATTGGCTGGTATATAGATGGCTACTTCAGAATTTACTTCAGATTTGCAGCCTGAAGGCAGGCTGACGTTCAGAGAAACAACCACTATTAGCATGTTCGTATTTGGGAAATATTTTTCTTGAAAAATGAGGTTTTCACTTGTATTTTGTTGACTTCTGTGGGATCTCACTGAATTTATTTCAGAGCGTTTTTATGGGTAAGCTGTACAAAATAGAGAAATTTTTTTTTCATTTGGCTAAGGTTCAATTCCTGACATTTAGCATAATCAAATTATTGAACCTGCAACTTTATAGTACTTTGCTTTAAGCATTTTACATAAAGAAATCAAATGTCTTGGAGAATTTTTGATCATATAGTGATGTTGCATTGCAGATGGTACAGCAGAAATCTGAACAGAAGTAAGGCAGAACAACTCCTTAGAAATGAGGTGAGTTCTGTGCTATTGTATTAGCAACTGTAGGATTTACTTAATGTAGCTTCTTCTGTTAGAGCAAAAGTTTAATTTTAGCACGTGCAAATCACAGCTTAAGTAAAAAAGACATGCAGCTTAAAAGTGCTTGTGGCATGAAACTGTTGTTGTGCTTGCATTTTAGGACAAAGAAGGTGGTTTTGTGGTGAGAGACTCAAGTCAGCCAGGCCTGTATACAGTTTCCCTTTATACAAAATTTGGAGGGTAAGTTTTTGTGGCTAGTCTGTACATCTTGTCTTGTTTGAATTAATTTGCATACATGTTTGAACTGATAGGCTTGAGGAAAACCTGAGAGAAAATTCAACAAAGAAACAAGTGCTGCTATAACAAACAAACAAAAACAACAAAAAACCCAAAATAGGTGACTAACATTAGCTTCTAGACTCCAGGATTAGGCCACGGTTGCTTTAATCTAGCATAAATATAAATGGAAACTGCCACCGGAAGAAGAGACCTCACTTTCTCATGCCAATCATTCTTTTCCCTCATGCCAGCATAAATGTTACGTGGGTGTGTGGTGAGCTGGATCAGGGAACTGATCTGGCTGCAAATTAACCTTTTATTGGTTAATCTTCAACTTGACCAGATTACTGAAGTGGTGTGAGTAGCAAATGCTCAGTATCTCTGAAATTTGAGGTGCTGCTGAAGTGTTTAGCACGGGGTACCCATGCAGACTGTGTTTGTGTCCACCGTGGGTGATGGAAACGTGCACTGCATCCAGGCGCTTCTTGGGGAAGGGTTGTGCCTCCCAGGCATCGAAAGCAGGTGGGAAGCACCATGCACCCCTTCCCTGGGGATTGCATGCAAGCTGCTCCCCTGTGATGCTGGGCAAATGGAGCTCCTCCACTGCTGCCCCTAGTGCTGGTGATTGGGTGCCAGCTTTTCAACTCTGTAAGTGGGGGAGTAACATACTACTACCAGCTGTGGTGGGAGGATGTGCAGGATGGACCTGTTCTGATCTACCCTCCTTTTGTGCAGTTCTTCAGGTGTGAAAGTTACTTAGTATGTTTTGTATGTTGCCTGTGTTAAACAGCGTTCTTTTTCTCGTCAGTATATTTCTTTTTTAAAATTCACAAGAGATAGCATTGTATTTTTTTTTTCTTTAGAGAAGGTTCATCAGGAATAAGACACTACCATATAAAAGAAACAGTGACATCACCAAAACAGTTCTACCTCGCGGAAAAACATCTTTTTAACTCCATTCCAGAAATAATTGAGTATCATAAACATAATGCAGCAGGTAAATGAATCTGATTCTCTTGTCACTTAGGGTGAATTTAAAAAGGAGAGTGAGGTGTATTAGGGTTTTGATGAAAGTTTTTAGCTTTGTATAGGTCCTTCTTGCTTGGAGAATAAATATATACATACATATATATTTATATATATAGAGAGAGATTATAATACTATATATACATTTACTATAATACTGTATAGTACTATTTACTCCCTATACCTGCACACACATGTATATACATTTACTATTTGTGTTATTAGAATAACTCAGTGGATGTACACCAGCAATGGGGGTATAAAGCCTCTGGCTTTATGAAAACAGATGGTGTTTTCTTTTCTTCAGTGTTCACTGTGACACTTTATACATCATTCAGCTGACGTTCCTATTTATTTGCTATATAGTGAGCTAGATCCTTTTTCCTACCTGAGACAGAAGCTTAGAACAATCCAAGGTGCAGCTGCTACGGTGTGGTAAAAATCATTTTTGACAGTCTTGGTGCTGCTCAGTGCACTCTGATCCCCAGTATAACAAAAGAACAGCTGTATCAGGTCAGGAAAAGACCATTCGCTTAGCTCAGTATCATGTCTCCAATAACAGCCTATAACACAGGGCAGATGCATAGGGATGGTACTTCCCCAGAGTATTCTCCAAGCCCTAGCGTATTTTGTATATGGGTTGCCTTTCAAAATAATCTAGTCTGCATGTAGGAAAAAGAGGAGGAGTACATTGTTCAGGAAATCCCTGAAGATGGGTCTTTGTAAAGCTTAGATGATTTAAATCTTTTGCTGGCGGTTGATGCTGGTGTCCACCCGCTATATGATAGGACGGAGAGAGTTTAGGAATCCTTTTGGCATTGAAGTTATGTTCCCTAGGCTTTGTAGCCAGAATCCACTTACCGTTAAGCACAACAGAATCTGGTTCAAGGCACAGATACTAATATACTATTCTTTTTCAAGTTCTATCCTTAAATTTTCCCCATGAGCTGTATTTTCAAGATGTTTATATTAAAACTGGGTGACCAGACATCTCCTGATGATATTCTGGGACAGATTTATTTTATCAGTTGCATAACTATGTCACTTTCTGAAAAATCTACTTCAAAACATAACACTGCTTCCCACTTACTATAACTGATTTTACTACTTATTTTTAGTAGCTTCATTCTTTTTACTCTATGTCCTAATCAAGTTCTGAAAAGATTTTAGGAGATTACTAATGTGCAGCACTCATTTTGTATATATGAAATCTCCTTGTGAAATTGGTGGGGTTTATACATGCAAATAAAAAATGATCAGTAACAATGTGAATATACATTTTAGACAATCTTTCTGATCTGATTTTATGAAAGATCTGGTCTCTGCTCAGCCATTATTAGTGCCAGCATAACTGTAAAGAACAAATATATATGCATATATCTATGTCCATCTCTCACCAGTGAAGATGATGCAGCAGTTTAGCTCCTATGTACCTCTTGTAAGCATTTTGAATAGTCAAAACAATGCAATAGCAGAAAAAAAACAGTCAAAACTAAATATATCTACAAGCTTATTGTTAGCTAGTGTCAGTTTGCAGTGAACAAGCGGCTGATTTGTTGCCGGGCGCTATTTCGGAAGTAAACTATGTCCCTTTGATGAATTACCTTTGAAATTCAGGTCTTGTTACCAGACTGCGTTACCCAGTGACCCCGAAGAAGACGACAGCACCAACAACTGCAGGGTTCAGCTATGGTAACTGCGTGTTTTTGTGTTAGTCTATGCATAACTAACTTCTCTAATAATTTTATATATGTGAATTGTTGCAATATCTTCTTAAACAATTTTTCTAAGTGTTCTGTGGACACCATGAGCTGTGTGTGATTTCTGAGCTGTACCTTTGCTCTTTCATAAGCTTTCAGATATCTTATTTGAACTTGGCTCTTTGATCTCTGTCTGTGGATTGATTACTCTCTTAATTCAGAATAGTCCATTTTAAGCATGGCACATCTGATGACATGAATAGCTTCTATGCATTGGCACAATTTTATATAATAGCAGCCTGTTGAATCAAGTCTGATAATACCAGTATGTAAACACTGGCTTCAGAAAACTTGAGTTTGCCTTCTGCGTTGGTCAGCAGCTGCTTATAGGTGATGTCTACCTAACAATTTATATTTGTTTTTTTAAGATACAAAAGTGCTACATTTTCAAATTAATTCTAAGGAGCTTTCTCACTAAGTTCCGTAGCTTGCTAATAGTCTCATGTCTCCCTTTCTCCTCCCCATCACCGTCAGCTCAGTATGTTCACTAATACAACAGTCATTTGTTTTTGGTTTTTTTGTTTTATAGAGAAATGGGAAATTAATCCCTCTGAGCTGACCTTTATGAGAGAATTGGGGAGCGGTCTCTTTGGAGTAGTGCGTCTTGGGAAATGGAGGGCTCAGTATAAAGTAGCCATCAAAGCAATTCGGGAAGGTGCAATGTATGAAGAGGATTTCATTGAAGAAGCGAAAGTAATGATGTGAGTTGCTGCACAGTGGCACTTCTGTGGCGGTTCTAGGCTTTTGATGCAGTATGCTGATAAGATGCCTCAGGCAGATGGTATTTTTACAGTTTCATGGGATGGAGAGCTAGCACTAGGTGGAGGAAGTAGTAGTAACTACATGATTTCAATCTTTTCAGGAAATTAACACATCCTAAATTGGTTCAGCTGTATGGTGTGTGCACGCAACAGAGACCAATTTACATAGTGACAGAATTCATGGAGAACTGCTGAACTACCTGAGGCAAAAACGTGGCCTCCTGAGCAAAGACACCCTGCTAACTGTGTGCCAAGATGTGTGTGAAGGAATGGAGTACCTGGAGAGGAACAGCTTTATCCACAGAGACCTGGTACTGTCCCGCTATGCAATGTACACTTTTTAAACTTGTATTTTTAAACATATCTATTCCTTGCTGAAACCACCTATTTGTAAATAACAGCTTTTCTTTTTGCAGAGAATTAAAAGTGCTGAAAATTGGCTCTTTTGGCTCTAAGCAAGACTCTGTAGTTGCCCTGTACACAGGAAGTTCAGAGGTTTCTCTCTCCCTACAAAATGGAGTAAAATCTCTCAGAAAGGTTTATAAAGAGTTAATAGCTGTTTCTGCTGCAATCATAGCATATCTTTATTCAGTATTGGTGCCATTTTTAACTCTCATTAATCCTCTGAGATACCTTTTCCTGGTGTATGTGGTGGTGTCATGTGTGCTTCCTCTCTTCCCTCCCTACCCCCCCCCCCAAACATTTCTGTTTTCATAGTAATATATCATTAAGAGCAAATGTATGTGTATTTTTTATTCTGGATCATAATGAGAATACCTCACTGAATTTGGTAAGTCAGTTAAATTTCTAATCAATGAGGACAAAGTCTTCCCTAGACAGTTGCAATTTGTCTGAAGGAGACTGCAAGTTTTAATCCAAATCCAACTGTTCCTTTTGTAGGCTGCCAGAAACTGCTTAGTGAATGATTCGGGAGTGGTCAAAGTGTCTGATTTTGGCATGACAAGGTATGGCTGATTATAGGAACATACTTGCAGTGATTTTGGAAAACTCACCTAGCCCTTGCACTTACCTGCACAACAAAAATGTCTGGCAGAATCACAGGCAAAATGGTCTTTTTTGATCTCTCCAAGGAATTCTCCTTTGGTTGTTTTCCCCTTGCCATTGCCTTTAAATATTATTTGTTCTGTGCTCCTGTGTCTATTTCCTTATTCGTTTCGAGTCTGGAAAAACAAAACAAGATACTTAATTCTCTACAGAATGGACTATGTCTAGCTCTTACCACGAGAGGCCTGGCTTTAAGTTGATTCCATGGTCTGATTGGTCTTCTGTTATGAACTGGCTGTAAATTCGGTAAAGACTTCATAAGTTTTAATTTCCAAGTGAAATTGACGTTTTCACAGTTTTTTCTAGAAACAGAAATGGAAATTTATTCGATTTCCAGTGTAATTAAAACTTAATTACATTTTAACTTTCTGAATAGAAATTTAACTTTTGTGTGGCCTAGACCTGTGGTGTTTAGCTAATAACTGCAAGAGAAGGCCCTGCATTGGTAAGAAAAATTAACTGTCTCTCAACTGACACTGTAGAACCACCCTGAACTTATTTTTACCATGTGGTACTAACAATCACGACCACTAGGTGGCAATATGAGCTTCTAATATCCAGATCCCAATTAAGTAAATTATAATCTGCAGGTTTGGAGGCTGACTGAAGGATTTTATATTTTTATTTTTTAGATATGTCCTTGATGATCAATACACAAGCTCTTCTGGGGCTAAGTTTCCTGTGAAGTGGTGTCCCCCAGAAGTTTTTAATTATAGCCGATTCAGCAGCAAATCAGATGTCTGGTCATTTGGTAAGACACTTGGTAATTAATTTTTTAGCTTATCAAGAAGCTAAACTCTAAGTAGATAAACTCTACTTTTCAAGACTTCAGATTTCTTAGAAGAAGCTCAGTGAAACAACTTACTGTAGTTTCATGCTTGCATAAAGTTGCACAGAGATCATGAAAGCTGTTATTTTTTTAAATTCATGCTAGTTGAGTAAAATTTCTTCAGACACATTTGAAAGCTTTCTAGAATATAGATCTCGAAACAAAAAAACTTTCCCTGTCAGAAAATTTTTGCCTAAAACTTGAAGTGCTTGTTTATTTTATGGAAATATTATTGCTTGTTTTTTAATATTTATTTTCACTTTTTAGGTGTGTTAATGTGGGAAGTATTCACAGAAGGAAAAATGCCCTTTGAAAAAAGCTCCAACTATGAAGTGGTAACTATGGTTAGCCAAGGACATCGTTTGTATCGACCCAAATTAGCCTGTAAACTAGTGTATAACGTCATGATGATGTGCTGGCAAGAGGTATATATATTTTTTTCTTTGCTTTTGAATTGACACGAGCTCAGTCTAGCAACAGCAATTAATCTCCACTGCAGTATTCTGACTGTGTCTTAGTCAGGCCCTGTGGTCTTATCTATATACTCCTTCCTGAGGGAATATTCGTAGTTGAAGCTATTGGCTCCTGGCACAAAAATGACTAGGATATCCTCCCTATACAGGCTCTTCAAGAAAGAGATAAAAAGGAGTACAGGGAAAAGAATATGGCTTCTGATCCATACTGACTGTACATAAAAGACGGGACACAGTAAATGGGAAGTAGGCCAGAGCTGAATGTTTGTAGCCACTCACAGATGACGGAAAAAGTTTAAATTTACTGCATGAAAAGAACCAGCTGAATGAAGAATTGTCCTCTAGTCAGGTCAGTGGGAGAATGAGTTTAGTTTAGTCACTGATATCTGTCTTAAATGGGAAGAACAGAGGGGGAAAGTGGAGAGTGTAAGAGTAGTCGAATATGATTTTAATGTAACTGATTATAGGTTTTGAACACAAAACTAGATGCAGACAAAAGTAAAAAGTCAGAGTGAAGGCTTAATGACACATAAGGTGTAATAAGGACAGTGGGACAGCTAATGACCACACCTCGATGACAAGGGCCACCCTATTTCCAGAAACAAAGATCTGAGACACTAGGGAAGGAGGAGATGGAGAGGGGGAAACGCTGCCCATACTGTTCTTTCCCCTTAACTGGGGTCCCAGTTACAGAGAGAAGGCCCCTGCTTCCCTCAGGGACTCCCAACCTCCTCGCGTCTGCCTGAATGAGCTCCTTGGGGTGGAGGGAGGACAGGGAAAAGCAGGGGGAACCTGGCCCAGTAATGATGCAGAAGGCTTTGAAGAAGTTACCTTGAGTGTTGGGTGCAGCAGTGCCACTGTAGTGCAGTGATCTGCTCAGGATAACATTAAAGTACAACTAATGAATGTGGACCGAGTGCTCCTCTAATGAGGTTATGTAGCTGTCCATAGCATGAATTAGACTGTCATTGCACAGGCAGCTTAACACAGCGTCGCTCCATGCTGTTGCCAAGAGAGACGACACGCTCTCTCCTCCATCTCCTCCTGTTTTCTGGCACTGCCCGTCAGGCCACGAAGCAGAGCTCGCCTGTACCTGTACAAATGCTTGTGGGTTTCCTGGGGCTGCTTGCTGCAGGATGGTATGAGGGTGAGGGATGGACAGACAGACAGACGGAGGGAGGGGAAGAGGTGATGTGGAGTGAGTGAGGAAGGCAAGAACAGCCCAACTTTGTCCTAGATCCACTAGGATCCCAGTCTCTCCTAGATCCACTTCATCCTTTTGCTGATCATGGAAGTATGATTTCAGTACAATTGCACTATGTTTATGGATGCAACCTCATGGTAAAAATGGGCCACTGATATTACAAGTAGTGAGTGAAAGGCAGGAGGAGCTGGAAAGGAAGTAAAGGTTAGGTGCTGCTGCTCTACAGAGTAATCCACTTCTCCATGAAGACCTGTGGAAGATGCTGGAGCTGTATGTCAAGGCTTATGAATCAAATAATCAGACAAATCTGAAGACTTCCACTGGAAGTTTTTCATGTGCTTCCCTTCCCCCTCCATTCTCTTCTGCTACCATTAATGATATTTGCATGGGTATATGCATACAAATCTACCATTGTCTTCAGTGACAACAGGACAGGTCCCCTGTGACATGATTCTGGCACTGGGTTAACGTTCTTGGAGCTATTTGTCCCATATTTTTTTGTGTTTATTTTTAAACCCATGGTTTGCAACTGAACTAGAGCTGTGATAAGAGCAACCATTGAGGAAATGTCTGTGAAATGGACTGTCAGGTTAAGTATGGAAAGGCATTTAATAACAAAATCAGTAAATCGGTCCTGGTCACAATTAAATCTGTATACACATAGTTCTAGCAAAACTGTATCAGTCAGAATGCCTCCAAGTGGAGTCTTAATTCTATACTACCTCAGTTGATTAGACATTACAGAAACATGTTAGAATGACCAAAAATATTTCTAAAGGAATACTACATTGCCTGATTATAAACTACATAGAAAATATAGATTAGGCTGCAGTTGAACCTAAGCACAAATGCAAAGGTTTTACAAAGAAAGACTAAAAATACGCTGTACTACTAATCCTCCTGATCCACACAGATACTGACTCTTCAGCTTTCAAAGAGGTAAAGGGGCAGCAAGAACAGATTTAATACTTTAAGTATTAACTAAATTAATATGAAATATCTTTTGCAATAGTAAAGCAAAAAATCTATAAAAACATAGGTGCATTTAATTATATGCCTCTAATTTTAGAGAGAGCACTCAAGGAAACCAGGAACTGAAGGAGCTAAATGATTTATTTCTAGGTGACCTTTGCCCCGCAGATGCTTGGGAAAGACTGCTCTTTCCCAGAATAAAGATGACATACTGTCTGACATTTGTCTTAGCAGATAAGGTGCTAGAACAAAGAGTAATTAGTCATCAAACCAACTGGTGAATACCTAAGCTTACAAAGTGCCGATTTATGAAGCAGAGAATATGTTTAAAAAACAGCTGTCCTGGAGGGCTGCAGAATGACAAATGTGTCTATAGTTTAGAAAGGCTGTTCCCAGGAACCAAGAAATTGCAGAGCATTAAATTGTGTTTGTATTTGGTAGCCTGCTTAGAATGGCCATTAAAATGGAATAATAAATCACCTCAAAGATCATGATAAGTTATTTGTTAAGATTCTCTGAATATTGATATGCATTTATAGGATTTTTGTGGGCATTAATGAGGTGATTAGAAGTTCCATGATTTAATCCTGGATTATTAATAAAAATCTAAGAAACCATCATGTGTGAGAATCTTTGTGAATCTCCAACAGGACACAAGTAGTGCAACAAATGTTCAATCTGTCATAAGATATGATTAACCATAGCTCCCTCAGACCTTGTTTAATAAATTTATTAATAACTTGAAAAGGGAAATGAATACTGAAGCATCAACATTTAGCAGATATTGCACTTTTCCTCCCTTTAACAATGTAATTAAATTTGTAAGTTATGCAGAATTCAGAAGATGCTAAATTAACGGTCAGCAAGGTCAGTGAAGAGACTATGTCAATATATTGCCGTAATTAAATGAAACAAACAGGATGTTATGACACAGATGGAACTGTATGGAAAATAGAGCAAGAGAGGAATGCTGTGACATGTATCTATGTAGTAGTCTCATTTCTCAGTCCAAAAAATAAGCATTGAAATAAAAGACTTCAGAGAAGGACACTGAAAATACTTATGAGCATGAACAATTTGCATGAAAAAGATTGCAATAATTTATTGGGGTGGGAGATGAGGGAGAGAAATGAAAAAGGACAGCAGTATGCAAAGTAATGGATGATATGAAGACTGCAGTCCAGCAACACTGATTCACAGCTTTTCAAAACATAAAAAGTAAGGTGAAACTTACTGCAATTAAGTGATGCATTCAGAACCAGCTCAAGGGAATATTTTTTCACATCCTATTTAATGAGATGGTAAATGTGTTGCCGCGGAATGATATCAAGACCGAGAATTTATCAAACTCAACATAACTTTGGTACGTGCTGATCACAACAGTGCATGCTTTTGTTTTTAGAAACCAGAGGCGCGCCCTACTTTTGAAGACTTGCTTCACACAATCATTGACATTGCAGAGGGTGAAGATTCTTTCTGAAGAAACATGGCAGCAACCCAATACAGGAAATAGTCCACATTCGAGAGCTGTAGCCTCATCATTTCTTTAAAGGCTTGATCCTGTAAGCTGCTGGATGTTGTTAAACAGTGTGGGGAGCCTGTAACGTTTGCTGCCCTTCAATCCAGGGGGTTATATGTGATGCTGGGAAACATGCACAATACCATCAGCAATACTTGCAGTCCTTATGTTTTCCTCTGAAAAGTCAGCATCGCATAATGGACAAATTGAGCTCTGTAGGGAGAAAGAGAGAGAACGTGATCAAAGCCCAAGAACTTAGTTTGCGTTTACTGGGTTGTGTTTATGTATATACAGTCCACGTTTCTGAGTTTCTGAGTTTCTCTTTACTCGGGCAGTAGAAATGGTGGTGGTAGTAGTAGTAGTGATTTGCAAGCTTTAAAATTGGAGGTATCTATTTATAGCTAATTACTGACATTGAAGTGTTTCCAGAGATTCTGCAGAAACATTATTTTTCTCAGTTCATGGTTGCTCTATGACACCTCAAGAACACAAAACATGCTTCTTTCCTTTGCACATAGTGAGTTGCCAGCAAGGCAGTCATTGGTTTGGTATAACACTCAGAAACTTTGCCTAAGAACCAAGCTGTGACGTGCCAAGACCTTCTAGGGCCTTTCGTCAACCAAAGACCTTCCAAGATTGGTCTTTACATTACACGTGAAAAATAAATCCATGATTCAGCACAACTGGCTGTCAGTGTACTATAGTACCTTGGTGTTGATTAATTAAAAAATAATTTATACGTTGTATGTATTGTAAATATATAAATTCTATACATTTATTTATATACAGTGCGAGTGTTCTCCCCTTGAAATTTTCAGGAATTAGTTTGTTCTACCTTAACTTGCATATGCAACTCAATACATGAGATTGTAAATGAAAGTACACCCTCATATGAATTAAGGGAGCGCTCGTTTTCCTATCTTTGTCATCTGTATGTACAACAATTTAACCTTTCTGTTCTTAACAGAAAATGTCATACTGTGTGTGTGTAAATAAACAATGTAAACTGTTGTTTGCAAGAGTAATGTGTTGCTAATAATTTGTTGACACAGTGCTTTATCAGCCAAGCTCATTGCTCATAGGAGTCTATTATGATAACCCGTGTATTTGTGTATCTGTAGATATATATGCACTATTAAATATATATTGTAGTATGAATATATATTTATTTGAGTTTGGCCATAATCAGATGTTCACTGCAGAAAAGGCTGAATTACTTTTTGGAAGTTACTTGTCCTTGCCCCTCTGCTGGAGATGAAAGTCTCCACAGCCTTGCTGAAGTCTATTTAAATTAACCAAACTTTTTACTTACAGATGGGAGCAGTATGGGCACTGTTTTGCTGTACTCACCTCCTGACTCTGTGTTTTGTTTTCCTCTTGTTACCTGTGCCCTTCGTTACAGCGTGTAATGGAGAATGGATTGCCTGTTTGCAAAAAGGTTTTTCATGCAGAGAAGCATATGGTCAAGTCTATTTCAAATCAGGTTATTAAAGCTGACTGTAGTTAGCTTAGTGCATTCCATCATTGCTCCATTTTGGTATTTCCGTAATCAGGGTCCCCCTGCTGCTTTGTAAAAGTCTACATTCAAAGGGAAGAAAGGTTCTTGTCTGAAGACATGTTTTTTCGGATACTCAGAGGCACCTAGTTTATGAATTAACACATTTTTTTAAAATGTATTTAGCCCCGGGTGGTTAATTTTGCAATGGATCAGAGCATCTCTGGAGTCAGCTATTTTGCTTACTCTTTGAGTGTCTGCAAAAAACATTTGAAAGATCACACCATCATTTCTTCTAGATGAACTCAGTCGTCCTTAAGCAACTTCATTCCTTCTTCCCCTTTCTATCATAACAGACTTTTTTAAAATGTCAGGATTAAAAATTAATCTGAATTAAACCAAATTTGGAGGTGTGCATCTGCAGCTTTTTTAATTTCCCTTATTTTTTTAATCAATACTTAGCATTACTGATTTTAGTTTAGTAATTTGGCTGTAAAACATACATTTGATAATAGAAAGCAGACTTTTTTTTTTTTTTTTTTTAAACAGAGATGAGATTAGTATCTAGTCTGTCTCATTTTTTTTAAGAAAAGTAGGCGGGATCAAACTGTATTTGTGTTATACCATGCTTCATATCAGAGCTAAGAGCTCAGCTGGGGACGTTTGTGCTGGCACAACTGACAAAGCATTGTATTTCCATTTGAATATAAGCCGACAACCAGATATGATTCTCTCCACCTGTAAGTAAATTGAGCTGCGTATTTTGATCTTGAAGTTTTGTTTTGTGCTGTAGTAGGGTAATTAGCAAATGACCTATTTAGAGTTACCATAAAAGTACCAAACAGCATTCTCTTGTGTAACTTAGATGACCTGTGTTCAGACTGCTCGTCTTGACTTTCAGAATTACTGATCAGATACGAATCTGTGATATGACCGATTCAGGAAAGCAACTACTTTTACAGATAGATATTGAGATGTTTCTAAATGCTACCTTTAAAAGCACATACTGCATAGCCATGAAGAAAAAGTTTGGTAGAATTAGAGCCGACTTTCCTACACTGCAGAATTAACTCACAGGAGCATACAGAATGCCTGAATTTGTGCATGTGAAAAGCTGAAAGACTGTCTTGTAAAGTGTTAAGGAAGGAAACTATACTATTGATTTCTAATAGATCATTGATCTTCTGGTACTGCTGAAAATTGACAGACCTAGCTGTTCAGGAGGCATATCGTGTGTCATAGTAAAGATTTGTTTTGGATGAGAAAAGTAAAGTTTGAGTATTTCTCAATGAGCCGTTGTATACACTTCCCCCCCCACCGCCCCCTGGCAAGAGCAAGAACTTTGTGTGGAACATGACACAATAATTCAAGTCTCAGATCTGGGCTAAAGAACTGTCAAAATTGGCAATGCTTTGTGAAAAAGTGAATCCGAAGAAGAAACTCAAACCAAGAAACTTGTGAAGTAGTAAAGTTATAAAAAGCAAATTATAAAAATTCACTTCTAACTAAACTTGTTCCTTCTATCTCGCCCTTTGGTACTACCTTCCAAGTACTGGCCATCAGTGCAAGTTATAATTGGAGGCAGGACCTGGCCAAATATACAATTATATCAACCTAAAGTGTGCTGCTAGGTTTTGGGTGTTGTGGAACTTTGTCATTTTAAATTGTAGTAAAACTAGTAGCAGCAATGGATCAGCTCAGAAGAGTTCCATGTTTTCACTGCACCTTTTCTGTTTTCATGGGACTTTCAGATTCTCAAGCAAACAGCTGTTCCTCCTCACTACAGACCAATCTTCTTCCTCTTCCTCTAGCCCCACGTCGGCTTTCTGTTGTGCACAGATAGAATTGTTAACAGCCTCTATCTCGGTTATTAGCTGCAAATTTTTAAGAAGTGTTTGTAAGGCTGGCTTCAGTACCAGTTTCTATAACTTCTACTTCCACATGCTTCTCTTGCCATGGTATCTCTTCTCTCCTTCCAAAACTGTGCATGCTAAAAAGTCTGAGTTTGGGCATCATAATCCTATGGGTTAATCTGGCTCTGTACTAGAGTTGGAATTCATATTTGTTAATCAGTCATCAGAGAGATGATATGTTACTGTTTTAAAAACAAGCGTTTTCCTCCTAATTTAGCCGTTTCTGGAAAGGAAAAGACAGGAGCAATGATATGGGCTACGTTTTGTTTTCCAAGTTCTCTGTCTATATTGTTTGAACTTTGAGCTTGCAGCCTTTCATCAGCTATTGGAGAAATGAGATTCTTCACAACATTAAAGAAGGAAGTCTTGGTAAACTTTAGATTCAATGGTCTAATTCTCCACTTGTTTGATTTTAACTTAGATTTTAAGATGACAACTTTATCTTTTTCATGACGACTTATACCTGCTGAGGATTAGGGCTAAATGTGTTTTGGTAGCTTATGTTTTGACAGAAATGTGGGCTGACAAGCCTAGTAGGGCTGTGCATCCTGGAGAAAACTTCCTGCATGTGAATTTAAAATAAGCAAATTTTAACCAATTTTTCTGGAAGTTTTTGGAAAATGTCTGGTTGTGTAGGAAGCAGAGAAGTAGGACCCGAAAAGAGTGAAGGGTCCATAACTGCTTTATCTTAAGAGACTTCTAAAAACAATTCACTGTTAAATATTATTGAATATTTTTTTCTGTTAACCTATGTTTCTTTCTAGTGTCCTGTCCAAATATTGTCTGTCATTCATAATATGTTAAATCTGATTGGTCTCTGTTCTCTTCAAAAATTGGAATTCAAAACACAATCCAAAATGTGATTCCTTACAGAAGCACAGCTCTCACTGATATCAACAGTGATTAATTTTTAAATGATGAACTCTTCAGACAATGTGATTAGTTGAGGAAGGGATTGGGGGGTCAAAGCTTATATATACATTTATGACTCTCTAACAATCTTTGACAAATGTACAATGTGTTGCTAAAGAGAAGGTGCTTGATCCAGAATTGAAGGAAATCAGTGGTTACAGTGATTTCAGTTAGGGCATAGTACAAAGGAAAATCAAGAAATATTTAAAACGGTGTGTTAATTATATTTATTTTCCATTTCTTATTCTTTACTTTTTAAAGATAGTAAATTTCTTGCATTAAAATGCAGTTTGTTTTTTGTTTTGACTTGCAGCTCTTGAATATAAGAAAATTAATAAATAAAGCAAGCAAGCTCGGTTATAGGAGTGCATGTATAACTATGAGAAGCATCAGTCAGGAAATGCAGACTTCCTGTAGCACTTCAGTCAGCATTGCTATGGCACCTGGAGGCAGCCCTAAATGTAAAGATCTTCCTGTGTTGCTAGCAGAAGATCAAGATGTAAGCCAGGTTAATCAAAATATTCATTCAATGCATCACAGCCTTTAACATTTGCAGTGTTGGCCAAGTCTTTCTAAACAGCATCGCAGAGCAGCTTTGGGCCTTTCTGTAGTGAGCTGTGAACTGAAAAAACTTGATTTTAACCAAAGGGAAAAAAAAACGTTCAGATACATTGTGCCAGAAGCACAGTACCACTATGGATGACTGACTGGGGAGGATGTAAAACGTTTAGATCAATATATCGATCTTTGCTTGAGATGCTGAAATTTCAGTCCATCAGGTCCAACATTTCTTGATTTAAGAACCACCCATAATTCAGTATAACTGAAGCAGGACCTAATCGAAGGCCTGCGATTCTATGTCCCACACAACCGAATGCCTCTCTGTGTATGTTTGTTGATACTGTTTCCCTGTAGACCTGATGATTTTCCAAACAGAAGTTAACAACTTTCTCTGCATGAATTTGTTCTTTTATTAATTTCTACTGAATTAGTTCTACAACTGCTACAGAAGTGATACCTAGACAAAATAATTTCAGCAGCCATATTGCAGAAAACAGAGCCAGTCATGTGTATAAGGAGGCTGATTTTCAAAGAGCTAGCAATGCCTTTCCTTCAGGATCATGCATATCTGCTGGACTGGTAGGCCTGGATTTGGTGCCTAAAACACCCCATTAGGAAGAAGCAGGAGAAGCAAACTTGGCAGAACTATCTGATTCCTTATGTCCCAAGAATTCACTGTGGAATGGGCTTATCTGAGCCTTGGTCTAACCTGAGCCTTCACTTTTAGCCTGCCAAGTTCATTCATGTTTTATGATCATTAATTAGTTGGATGCTCTAACCTTGGAAAAATCACTGGCCAAATAAAGTGCACGTCCCATGAAACATCCTAATCACAGCTTTAACCTGTATCTTCTCTGTGATTTCATGAACAGGATAAGAGACTAAATAATTAATAGTATATATGCTTGAGATGTTTTTAAAAACATCGCATACATTCATTTATTCCTAATTGCTTTTAGCATAGCAAAGGACATTGAAATAGGAAAAGCAACCACTAGCAGAACAAGCCTGGAAGCCACTGACGGCAAAAGGAATTCCTCAGCTTACCTTCTAAATTTATTCACCTCACTGGGCTCATAAAGAAAAGCAAGACAGACTTCTATGTCCGTAACATCAGTCTGAATGTTGGACTTCTTGCTAGCGAAATCTTTAAAATCTTATTGGAACATCATTCTGACATAACATTGAAACTCTGCAGTGCTTGGGCTAAATATTTCCAGTAAGCGCTCTCATAAGGAGAGCAAGTTATCTTAGAAGGAATAACATCTTTAATTAGACCAGATGATATAACTGAAAGAAGTAGGCAAGCTTTCACATGTCAGATTCCTTTTGGCACATTGCTAAATACTGGTGAAGCTTCAAGGCCCTGGCTAAAGTAATAGAAAAATAGAATAGAATTTTTTCACCCACGCTGTTCGCTTTTTACGGAGCACCAAAGCCATGTAAAAGCTATTATAAAACCTAATGTAATCTAGATCAGGAGAAAAACACAGTTCCTTCTTAAGAGATTTGGGAAATATTGGTAAATAGCATGTAATTATTCATGCTGAAATTTAAACAACACTTTTTCTGCTGAAATTGTAATAGTAGTTTTCCTCGAAGGGCAGTTCTTGCAAGACAACATTGTCATGCAATATGCTTCCAGGGCACCAATTTAATACTGCTTTAGAGGCACTTGTTCCTTAGCACTGTTACTTTGCTCAGGAATTTCTCTTTTTCTTAAGGAACAGAAAAGCAATGGTAGCAAAACAGAAATATTTCCCAGCTGACTTTAAATAAAAAAAAAAATGATTATTCGTTCTAGGCTTGTTCTCATCCAGGATATGAATAAACTAGACCTTATAGTCAACCAATGCTAGAGACTGTGTTCAGGCAAAGTTAAGCTGCTGTAGTTATTAACAACTGAGGGACAGTTTAATGGACCCTGGAAAATTATGCAGCAAATAAATTACATTGCCGTATCTTCTGCTGTGGTTTACTTTAAAGAAAATTGTCAATGTCAGCTGACTTGGGTATTTGTAATCCCCACGCTTTGCATAGCCGTCAGTGGAAACTTTTATCAAGCAGTTGATGCTGGCTTCTGATTAATACAGGCTTGCCAGCTTCCTACGCGATAGGCTCTTCACAGGATGCAACAGTTTAAGGGAAACTGCCCCGCCACTTTCATGGTAAATACTAAAACCAAAACACGTATGAGACAGGTCTCTTCCTCTTCCGACCCAGAACTAATTTGATCTTATCTTTCTGACGTTTGATGTTCTCTCCTCCTCCTTTCGTTAGGGTAAGATTTTCTACGTACTGTGTGTACGTTTATAGAGAAAATAATCCCATTTTTGTCAGTGTAAGTAAGGATACTTAGTGTTTGAGTGCTAGGATGCATAGTCTCACCACACTTTGCTGAAGCATTGCTAAAAGGCATTGATAAGAAGCATTATAGGACACTAGCTAGACCATCCCATTTATCATACCAGACTAGTTAGATCCTAATTAGATCATTAGGATAAACAAGCCAAAAAATGCCATGAGGGAACAAATAAACTAGAAGACACTGCTCAGACTGTACAAAGACGTATCATGCGAACGATAAAGCAGTGAAGTACCGAGACTTCAGGAAGGCTATTTTAGGTAAATGTCTGAGACGACTTCTAGTGCTATGGCCTCTGGGGCAGAGAAGGACCAGGACTCACTGCTGTGGGATATGAAGACTGTTTTCTATCAGTGCAGCTAAACATGACGGAAGCCTTTTCTCTGTATGCCTAGTTCTCATACTCCCTAAGACAGCCTAAATCAGCCAGCTGCAGCTGCCTCCTGGCCGTGCGGGCCCCAGGTGGCAGGCCAGGGACACAGGCCGGCCTGCCCCGAGGCGGGGGGTGATGGGCATGTGCAAGAGGAGGACGGGACTCATGCCTGGAGGAGGCACCCCCAGGATCCTCCCGACCCTGGGGCCACAGCCTTCCCACCTGTTCCTGCACCCGTATTAATTCAAAGACTTAAATATACCGTGTCTCCTTTAATAAATCTTACAATAAGAAAAAGCTTGTCATATAGGTGTGGTTTTGTGATTTGAAAGTCCTGTCATTGCTGAACGGGACAGTTCTCCATCTCCTGTTCCTGATCACGTTCCCCTTTGTTGCGCTGGTTAGAGCGTACGTGGCCGTGTGATCAGTTAGATCAGTACTGATCTGGCTGACAACTCATTCTTTCTTTTATTCTTTTTTGGGCTGATTTTGTGAACTAATTCAACTCATCACACGGCCTTACAATTACTGTGCCCACTCTGAGGGAGACGGTGGGAACGTAGCTGGGGTGGGAGGAAAGCTCTGCTCTCTCAGACACTTGCAAATTCAGCCTTAATGATTTGCCAACTATTTCATAGCAGGACAGAGCTAATAATGCTGCTAAGCACATATCCTAGCCCTTAATTCTGTACATTTTGTAAGCAAGTAAAGAATACTGCAAATGTAGAAAATATTCCTGTTCACAGATCACACCATCCAGTCTGTCTTCTGCTGCTGCTGCTGCTGCTGCACGGTGCAAAAAAGGTATGTGAAATGCGTAAGCTTTTCAGCAATTAAGATAATTAAGATATTTGCCCAGAAAGGACTTTTAAAAATCCTTCAATTTTCAGTAGAACTGCTAATTATGCAGAAGTTTAAAAGAAGCTCTACCCTATATACCCCAACTTGAATGAAGACATATATGTATACATACATTTGTATACATATGAGTATTTTTTTAATGAATATTTATATCTATATATTCACTCAAATACTTCATGTTCTTCAAAATAAGAGCAGTGAGAATGAACCTGGACCCGGATACTGGCCTGGTGACCCAGTACTCAGCCTCACAGAAAGAAGGCTCCTACCCATCTACTTGGAAGTACAGGGTAAGTAATGTTTCGGTAGGTGAAAAAAAAGGAGTGAGGTGATGTGCCATACAGTAGCCCACTACCAAACAAGAACAGGAGTAAGTAACTCCTGTGCATGTACTCCTGAAGTTGCTTAAAAAAATAATATAAAGTAAAGGTGTCCTAAGATCTACACTGAGTGTGAAAGCAGGGTCACAATGAGGTTTCTCAGGCTGGCTGACCTGACTGGGAGGCTTGTGGTTGCTGGCAAGGGTGGTTCCCCTTCCCTCTCCCAGGCCCTGGGCATCCAAGTGAGGGAGGTGAGAAGGGTGCAATGGCCCTTTTTTTGACAGAAGCAAGCTAGCCACCCTCAGCTGGCTTGTGAAACCTCCCCTTCATTTTTACTAGAGCTAAGTATAATTAATCTGAGTTTTCAAAGCATAGCTGAGTAAAAAAACAGAACCTAAGCTGTTGCAAAAGGAAATGGTTATGTTTCTGCTGATTTGCTATGAATATCTGCAGTGCCCTCCATATCCATATTAATTCTTCAGATAAAAGGCCAAATTCCTGCCTGCTGATTTCAATGGTATCCTGCTAATTTACTCTGGCTGGGGAGTTATCCCAGCATTCATGTCACGCAGAAGTCACTGAAAGCATGGGGGTTAGGGTAGATGGATGGTTTGTTTACTACTTGTTGTGCTTTTCGTTGTAATTTTGGCTTTGCTACCACGGCCCTCAAATGCAGGTCCCGCTGTTTTGTAAGTGACTGGGTAACAGTACTATACAGTAGGAATCAATGATTAGGATTTGTTCCTTTTAGTAACCAAGAAAATATAATAATAATGTTAATAATAGGTGAATAAAATAAGCAGTAGCAGGAAAAAAAGACCAGTTATGACAGATACTTTTTTTCTTTCACAAGCATGAGGGGCAGTTGGTTCAACAGTTTAAGAAAAAGCCATTACCTCCTCTACCTCCTGAGGCTTTGGAAGACTACTCACAAAAGATCAAAGTTATTGCACTCTATGACTTTTTTGCTAGAGGACCCTATGATTTAACACTCAAGAAGTCAGAAGAATACATTATCCTTGAAAAGTATGACCCCCACTGGTGGAAGGCAAGAGACCAATATGGGTAAGAGAGGGGGCATCTATTTCAATCTCTTTTCTTATACAGAAAGAAAAAAAAAACTAAAACAAACTCCCCCAAAAGCAAGCAGATAGATAGAACAAGAGATGAGTGACATTTTGGAGACAGATTTTAAACTGTTTTAAGTTCTAGATTTAGTAAGTTATTTACTGAAAAAGAGAGCAATGTAATTCACTGGGCATTGAGCCATGTGAAAATTCAGCTTTCTATACTTCAAGTGCTGTACAATACAGTGTAGAATGTGTAAGCAGTTCATAAAAGCCATAGAAATTAGTAAGACATTTGGCTGAAACAAAATCCTTGATCCCAAAATTCCAAGACTTTTTAGAAAGTCTAGATAACTTCATTTAGGATCCTTTCTGCTTTTCTGTTCTCTCCTTTGCATTTCTTTCAGTTCATCCTATAGCCTGATTTGGGGAATGGTCATATATTAAAATAACAAATGTTTTCTTTTTATTCACCTCCCTCCTTTAAATATTTTTAAATGCTTTTTCTGCACTCATATTTGCAGTGAGAATCCACCAGATTATTATTTTGTATGCACATGCATGCACACACTTTGTATGTCTTCATATAAAAGCTTTGTATAGGTCCAAGATTGGAACTGAAGAGTACAGCTTCTGATTGAGCAAAAGTATCTTTTTTTCTTAATTTTCTTTTGGCTTTAACTGAAAATTCTCATTCACATGCTGCTCTAAGCACTCTGCAAATACTTTCCCCAGGTGACTTTTTCATTTCATTAGCTACTCACAGCTGTGGGACGGATATGTTGTCCTGAGATGAAGGGACTTGGACTTCTATTCAATCCCTACACTGGGATTCTGTATCTAAAGATATAGCCTATAGCATAAATAACCCTTGTAATTTAGTAAAAGAAAAATGTGTATCTCAATCCCATTAATATTTTACATCATACCACAGCATTATCCTCAATCTGTATTTGTTTCAGGAATGAAGGTCTAATTCCCAGCAACTATGTAACTGAGAACAAACAAAACAACTTAGAAACCTATGAGTAAGTACACTTGAAAATGATTATTGTGCTTTCTTTTCTCAAAAAGGAGTGGTACACTTTAGAGCTTGATCCTTTCATCTTTATTGGATACAAACGGGTGTTCTTTGCTGGAGAGCTTACTGGAAGTTCTCATTTTTTGTGAGAAAACATTATTCTTGGAATCAAATTGGTGAATTCATTCTGAGCTATTTGCTCTGAGTGCACAGCAAGAAATAAGAAACACTGAACACCATAACAATTCATTTGCATAAATCAAAATGTCAGAAGCCAGACATTTCCTATTTGTGTAGGCTCACTACACAATGTTTCTATATTCTAATCTCTTCCTGTTGTGAACATAAAATTAACTGACTAGACGCTAATTCTGCCTAGGTTCCTGGAGAGAAGAGTAAAATTCTCCAAAACTCTAGTGAAGAGAGGCCTAAAACAATGAGTGTGGCTGTAAATTTCTTCACAGTTTGACATAACTGTATCCTGGGTTTTGTTTTGTTTGAGCTCATATTTAATCACAATTGGGAAATTGGGAAAATAGTTGACATAATTACAATAAGTCTAATAAAGTCATTTAAAATTAAGATATTATTATATGCAATGAGAGTTCTATTCAGTTTTTGGACAAGGAATAGTGCAACTATTAAGAGGGGTTACTTCTGCTAAACAGAGCAAATGCATTAATTTTTATTTAAGAGTATCTGAAATTAAAGCATTGAACGTCTCTTCGTTGCAGGTGGTACTGCAAAAACATAAACAGGAGCCAGGCAGAACTTCTATTACAGCAGAAGGTAACTCAGCCAGTTTATAAATACAGCTAACAATATCTGGAAAGATCTGTCAGCAGAGGAATCAAGAACATCTCAACAGTCAAATCCAAATCTGTTTGGCATGCAGTAAGAGAGAATGCTTTAAAATAGAGGGGCAGCTTTCTGGGGTGAGCATACAGTGTAGACTATCTAGACTTCCTAGAACCTTAACTTCTAGTCCCAGCAAATTCTACTGAGATCTTCAATATGAGATTAATTGAATTTTATGCAGTTTACTCTGCATGTCTTTTATCTGAAGATAAAAGTCTTCTTTATTTGAAGACTGAAATCTCTGTAATAAGTAAGGTAGTAAAGTGGCAGAATTAACAACCCTCCATCCCCCATCTTCTTTATGTATGGGGCAAATAATCCATATACTATTCTACCCTGTATCCATTACTAAAGTTTCTGACTCAGCTGATACTTGTTAAGCCTTTCTTTGTTCTAATTCTCCTCTACTATTTTTAATAACAACTAAGACTTTCATGTACAACGAACAACTTAGTTAATGTAGTAACAAAAACGTCGACACTTCTTACTGTTATGTAATGTTCTGTGCCTCACATGTAAACATGTAGATGTCCTCCTCAACAAGGACTATGGCTTTCCATGGGATTTTATTAGTTCTGTGAACCATTTCAGAAGATGACTTGCTGCTGCTTCATTTTATTAGGCATTCCACAGAATCTGGTAATTAGATGCAAGTCCTATCACAAGGGAGTTTGTTTCAAGCCCAAAAGCAAAAAATAACTCTAATGGATTTCTTTTCAGTCCAAAGAAGGCGCATTTGTGGTCAGACATTCAAGCCAACAGGGACTTCTCACGCTCTCTGTGTATTCGCGGTCTAAAGGGTGAGTAGGCATTGCTCTGAATGGTTAAGGTTTGAATCAAAATGTGAAGGAAGACCTTGCTAAAACTCCTTGGCATGAGATGTGCCTCGCCTCTGCTAGGCCCAGCTGATGCTTCCTATATGCGACTGGCCTTCAAAAACACCTCCAGGCTGCAATGTAACCCTCACTGCTTCATTTTGAGCGTCCAAAAAAGCAGGGGTAGACAGCCAGCAAAATGAACAGAAAGCACTAAAGACATAATATGGAGAAATATGGAAACGTTAACAGATAAAATAAAAGTGCTGATAAAGACTCTTTGGAGAAGCAGATCGGAAAACTTAATCTTAGACTATGAGTGAGTGTGTTATTAACTCTTTGGGCAAAATTCAGGTGGCGAAGAGCAGGTTAATTTAAAAAGCTTAGATTCAAATAAATGCTGATTTAGGAGGGATGTCTGTTAAATGCTACAGCTATTTCTTGTAGATGCAATCATGCAAGAATAAATACTTGCACAATAAAAAAGATTGTGCAATATCTCCCAAAATTGGGATAGGGATCTAGTTAAGGACTTTTTTTTTCTTAAACAGTAAGTTTGATATAGTAAACTACACCAACTCATTTAAAGTAGGGAACTTTATCTCAAGTTTTTAGATTTTTCTGTACATTCTCTCCAAGTAAAATTTAATCAATCAGATTTACAGTATATTTCATTCTAAGTTATGATCTTGTTGATTTCAGAAGTCATAGCGGAGGCATTCGACATTACCAAATTAAGAAAAACCACCTGGAACAATATTATGTAGCAGAAAAATATCTCTTTTCATCTATTCCTGAACTCATCCAATATCATCAACAGAATGCTGCAGGTAACACATGCAAGCTGGTAAGGTTTTACTGATGATGATCATCAGGACTTTGAGAGGTCATAAATAACCCTTTCTGTAATCTTTTCTTTATGTAAAGAGGCACAAGTTTTCACATTGCTGACAAGTTCAAATATATAGTGATCCTTTCTGCCAAAGCAGTAGCTGCAATGTGCGTATACCATGCAGGAAGTGAAACTGCACTTGAATGAAATGAATTTTACAAAATTAGAAGCCTACTGTGTTTACCTGCTCTTCATTCTGTTAGTTCATACTTGACTGAATGTGACTTACATTCAATTTGATTATAATTCTTTGCTTATCTAAAACACAGTAACTTGTATGCATGCAACTTAAGAAAAACAGGAAATAGGCTATGCATCAGCAGACAGCATTTTACTGATTTTTGCCAAAACCCCAAAACAGTCAAAAGGCAGAATCGGGGACGACAAGGACTCTCTGATAGTGATTTAGAGCCTCTAGTTTTAAATTTCTATTTTCTAAAATCTCTAAATTTTCTAAATCTCTAGATTTAGAGCCTCCTCTACGTGTTTGCTGATGTCAGCCTTTAATAATTTCTAGCATTAAAACACTCCCTTCGTCTTGGCTCTGCCTATCATTTCAAAATAGTGTAAAATGTTTCTACCCTGAATGAAAGGAGATGGGAAAACACATAGAGAGCCTGTCACACAAGTGAGGAAGGAAGATACAGGAATGTATAGAGCCTTTTGCCTGAGAGAGGAGGACTGTAGGAAATCCATGAAACAGAAACGGATCTGAAAGTAACAACTGCAAGAATGAATGGATGCAAGGAGCCCTTGATGAGCACAATGAGCTAGCTTTAAAAAAAACCGAAAGCGTACAGCTTTTCTGTGTTTGTAGAAAACACAGGTATAGTAGGAAAGTAGAAAGGGATATTTTCACTGGCACAGTTGGCTGATGAACTCAAAGGGAAAGAATGACAGACAAAAACATTTCTTGTGATGAGAAGTAGTCCTGAGAAATTACACTGAAGAAGAAAGCCTAGGTGTATGGTATCTTGTGTATTAGTATTTAAGATAATTAACATACCAGAATACCAACATACCAGAAACATACCAACATATCAGAAACAAGCAAGTATACTTATTTAATTAAACAACAATTTTGGATAGCTTTTCTTTGAGGTAGGAACTGTCTTATCGTATATATTTGTACTATGACTGGCTAAATCTCAGCTGGTATCCCAAGGCGCTACTGCCATACATCTATTAATATTTAACAAGAAATAAAAACAATTACATGACATTTTGAAAGCAGTACTTGTCTTCCTAAACAATAACTCATCTGCCAGGCTGAAAAGAGGCACTCTTCTTATTTCCTGTATTCAGGGCCCTGTTGAATATAGTCTTCCTCCATTTTTTCTCACTATAATGTTATATCTAAACAAACTGTAAAAAAAAAAACTTCAAGGAGTAAGAAATGTAAATCACATCCAAAATATTTTTTGTTTGAGAACAGATACAATGTAGCATAGTTTAAAATGTGGTAGTTGGTCAACAGAATATTATTGCTTTGTCTCCTGCAGGGCTTATCACTCGTCTACGGCATCCAGTTGGATCAATGGGATGTTCTTCACCAGCAACAGCAGGATTTAGTTATGGTAAATTTTGAATAATGTTTTGGTGGCGATTTAGGTATCTATCTACCCAAAAATTTGTATTGCACTCATCAGGTTAATTATTCAATTTTATCAATGAAATTTCCCGGTAACAACAACCATATAAACAGTTGCATATTCACTGGAAATAAACACTGATTTCCCACTAAGGTGTCAGAACCACAGGGAATATCTGGCTCGAATCATTCAGTTTAGCACGTTGTGCTTCTTTTATAACCACTAGAGCATTTCTGAGTTATCTGGTTATTTGTAAGCAGACCTGACTCAAATATGCATTTAATGGCCTCTGAAAGGATATTTCAATTTATTTAAATGCCTAAGAAATTTCAGTTAATATTATTTATGAGGAAGATTTTCTTTGTCAATTCTGCAAGTTTTAGAAATAAGAATAAAATCTTACACGGGATTAGAAAATAAGCAATAAACACTTGTTTTGTGCATCTACAGTAAGAAGTTAATATCATCTGCCTGATGCATACGTATAACAAAACAGGAATTTCCAAAATTGCCTATTATCCTGTGAATGTTCCTATGAATATCAAGGCTTAATGTGTCTGGAGGGCACAACTATTTTGGTTGTTACAAAGGCATCCAGTAACTATTTCTGAAGCTATACTATCAATCTGGAAGCGGTTCAGATATCAGATATATATGATAATGCCAAAGAATGTAATGTCTCATATGTAATTGAAACCAAATATTTGCCTTATCTTCAAGCTGCAGACATTCCTACCTTAAGCAATTTAAATAGTGTTCACATTTGACAAGCTGTAAAATGACCTTAATATGTAAAAATATATGAGCATGTGGAAATTCTCAGTTATTCCAAACCCGTGTTATAGTTGATGAACCGTTGTGATGTTTTGCTGTGTGTGTTAGCGGCAAAGAGCACAGCCTCTCTCCTGGAGCACGGTTAAGGAAGGCTGGCCTAACTGTTGCAACATGTTGGGATCTTTTTATAGAAGAGTGGGAGTTAAACCCATCTGAGCTGACGTTCATGAAAGAGCTTGGGCGTGGGCAGTTTGGAGTCGTTCAGCTGGGTAAATGGAAAGCAACCATCAAGGTTGCCATCAAAACGATCCATGAAGGTGCAATGTCTGAAGACGATTTCATTGAGGAGGCCAAAGTGATGATGTAAGTACAAAACCTGTACAATACATATAGATGACACTGAGATAACCCAGAAATAGGTATAGCCCAATGTTATTTAATCTAATTAAACAAAGAACACTTTGAGAATTGCTGATGCACTTGGTGTGCAATATAGAAAAGTTGTTTTTCAAGGTCTAAATCAGACCGCTCCAGATTCTCAGTACACTCACTGCCAGGCTTTTTTTTTTTTTTAAAAATGGGTACTACCTTACACTGCAAAGCTGAGGGGGGAGTATGTGTGCTGAGAGCTGTTCCTACAACCATTGCTTGTATTGCTAGATACAACTTAGAGATACCGTAATTCAGTATCTCTAGGGCCACTAGCAGATCTTAAACTTACCTACATCTTCTGACAAATTATATTACCATTTCTCCTAATTTCCCAGACTGCATGGGGAGGAAGTACACAGACCAAGTCTTGCACCAGCTCATATCCCCTGACTGAAAGCCAGGCCTTCCCATTTCAGATCACCAAGTCAGAGTTTATGGTCAGTTCCTGTACTTATTTAACTGATGAACTATTATGGAATGAATTCAAAGAGTGTGAACTTTTTGGAGGAAACTGTATGTGGAAATGTGTTAGTAGGACAACTCTGAGGGCAGTTGCAATCAGATAAAGTACTGAGAATGAAAAGTCTAATTGCTTGTCAATGACAAACGATAGCCTGACTAACATGGACACTTTTGACAGGAACCTATCCCACCCGAAGCTGGTCCAGCTTTACGGAGTGTGCACACACCACAGGCCTCTCTACGTTGTGACCGAATTCATGGAGAACGGCTGCCTCCTCAACTACCTTCGGCAAAGACGAGGGAAACTCAGCAGAGAGGTCCTGCTAGGCATGTGCCAGGACGTGTGTGAAGGGATGCAATATCTAGAAAGAAACAGATTTATTCACCGTGATTTAGTAAGTATAAAAGGTTTTCTGTAAATAATGACAATAAAGGAGTCACCACTGCATTTTGTGAAACACTAATGTATTCTGTAAGACTTGAGCGTTGCCGGATCTAAGCAGCCAACAGTATTTTTGTGATGAATGCAGCACTTTGGCTGTAAAACAAGTCCTTTCAGCTGTTCTTTCATCTACAGGCAGCTGGAAAACTACGTGGTAATTGAGTGAAGTCAGAGAAAGTCAGGAGGTTAGCATGGAAAGACAGTCTCACAACACAAGATTATCATGCAGCGATTACAGTACAACCAAAATCTCAGCAATAGAAAAGGGCAGCAACAGTGAAGAGTTTTATGTAACACAATCTCTCTCTTCCCTCTTTTATTCTGCTCTCTGCTGTCTTGCCTTGATGCTGGGATATATGGATTGCTTTTCTCCCTTACCCCTCATACACAGGGGACTGTGGGGGTGAGGGCCGCATTTCTTCACTTTCTGCTTTTTCTCCAACACCCCTATCTGGATGCAGAGCAGAAATCTTCCTGCTCTGCTGTCCGTGGCTGCTTGGAGAAATGGAAAGTCTTGAAAGCTTCCACAGAGTTCCTGATTTCTGTCATGAACAGTTTCTAAAAGCAAATTTAAAAATTCATAGCGAGTGTCCTAATGCTGGCATTCAGGAACATATCTGCTTGGATAACTAAACTCTGCATCCTAAAATTTTCTTTTACTATGCAGGAATATGTGAAAATATTTTAGCTTATACCTCAAGCATTCAGTCTGATACATGCTATGTAGATGTAATTATACAGTGGTAAAACATTTTCATTGACGTGAAGTCAAAACTTCACTTTTTCGTTATATTTTTGAGCAAGTCATTCACCCCCTTTTAGAATATAAACGGTATGCATGAGCTGAAAGATATAAATCTGTTGTATTTTTCTTAAAATGCTTTAGCACAGATTTCAAATATGTTTCTCTCATTTTGCCTAGGCTGCAAGAAACTGTTTGGTCAATGCTAAACACGTTGTTAAGGTATCCGACTTCGGGATGGCAAGGTATGAAGCCACTTACATGACTGTACTGAGTGCTCTATTTTCAGTCAAGAGCAGCAAGGTGCTGAATTAATAACATTGCTCGCTTTGCTGATTCGGGGAATCCCCTCGCGCTCAATTTATGAGCGCTGGCTGCAATGACGGCATTGCTATTTAGCCGTTGCACCGTGGCCTGCCCTGCTGGTTGCCAGGCCTTTCTCTTGCTACGGGGGAGCGTAAGACAGACAAACTAAGCGGTAGAGCTTAAAAGTGGTTTTTTGACATAGAAAGGCTCAGCGTGCAGTGGGTGCCAGAAGCCTAAAGAAACTGTTTTCCCCAAGTTTCCTGAGCCTGGGGGAGGGCAGGCAGGCCCTGCAG